GAGGAAAGACCTCTGAACTTTCAGAGACTTTCTGTAGGCTAACAGCTCAGAGGAGACCTAGATTGGGGCCTGCTGGGGCAGGAAGAGGGACTGGACATCTGTGAAGACTACATGACGGACCTCTGGGCCCATGGAACTTCTCAGACTGACATGATCAGAGCAGGGAAGGGCAAAAAAGACTTAGTAGATCCCTGAGGGTGGGAGGCTACAGGCTATAAGGAACCTAGGGTTCCCAATGGGGGAGGGAAGCATTGGAATTTAGGCTCCTTTAACCTCAAAACTGTACCCAGACAAGAATATTAGGCTGCTTTGTGCAACTGTACAGTTCCCACGCTGCACAAATGGTTAATGGCGCAAGAGTGGACTACAATCCAACCCATGCTTAGCCTGCTCAGTCATGTGCTGACAGAACCCCCCAAGGACCAGCCTAGCACCAAGTGCCACCGGAGGGCCTCCTCTTCCTCTCTCTCACAAAAGCCCACTATGACTTAGTGGTCATGAAGGGAACCCATGGAGCTCCAGTGGTTCCCAAAGCCCCTGTGGAGTGGCCTGGGCCACTTATTGGAACCGGGAGAGGAAAACTTACCAAAAGAGAGAAAGCTAGGTGCTGGTGGCTCACACCTGTAATCCTATCTACTCAGGAAGCTAAGAACTGAGGATCTTGAATTGAAACCAGCCAGCCAGGAAAGTCTGAAAGACTCTTATATCTGATTAAGTACAAAAAAAAAAGAGCCAGAAGTGGAGTTCTGGCTCAAGTGGTAAAGCACTAGCCTTGAGCACAAAATCTCAGGAACAGTGCCCAGACCCTGAATTCAAGCCCCAGTACTAGTACAAGAAAAAAGAAGGAGAGGCTGGGAAGGTGGCTCAGTGGTAGAATGCTTGCCCCACATGCATGAGGCCCTGGGTTCGATTCCTGAGCACCACATAAGCAGAAAAAGCCAGAAGTGGTGCTGTGGCTCAAGTGGTAGAGCGTTATCCTTGAGGTGAAGAGCTGAGGGACAGTGCTCAGGCCCAGATTTCAAACCCCATGACCAGCAAAAAATAAAAATAAAAAAAAAGAAAAAAGAAGGAAAAGCAGAAAGCTACTCTTGACCCCCAGCTCTGCTCAGTCATACACAGAAGGGTTCTTGCTACGTAGAAGACATAGAACAGCCGGGTGCTGATGGCTCATGCCTGTAATCCTAGTTATTAAGGAGGCTGAGATCTGAGGATCACGAAAGCCAGCCCAGGCAGGAAAGTCAGTGAGAAAACCGGAAGCAGCACTGTGGCTCAAGTGATAGAGTGCTCACCTGAGCTGAAGAGCTAAGAGATAGCTCCCAGGCCCATAGTTCAAGCCCCACAACACACACACACACACACACACACACACACACACACACACACACACACACACACACACACACACACACAGCACAGGACAGCCTGTGAGGAGTGTCCTGGCTTTCAAACCCTCTGAATTGCCATCAACCAGGCCCTCTGGAGACTCAAGTTGCCAGAATTTGGGCATCTTAAAAAAAAATTAGTGTGAATCCTGGGGCAGCCTGGGTGCTGTCCCTGAGCTATTTTTTTTATTTATGTTTTTTTTTTTCTCAAGGCTAATGCTCTACCACTGGATCCACAGCTCCACTTGTAGCTTTTTTGGTGGGTAATTGGAAATAAGTGTCTCATGGACTTTCCTACCTGGGCTGGCTTCAAACCATGATCCTCAGATGTCAGCCTCCTGAGTATCTGGGATTCCAGGCATGAGCCACTGGCGCCCAGCCTGGTCATTCACTCTTTTATCATCCTAGACAAGTAGATCGGACATATCTGGGCAGTCCTGTCAGGACAATGCCAGGCTTCTGAGCTGTAAACTAAGAGAGGTGGACTTTTCCTGGGCTCATTAAGTATCTCTACGTTTTGAAGAGCTCATGCCTTTATTGGATCCCCCATCCTCCTGATCTGTTTCCAACTACTTAGCCTTCCCCCAGTGTATCTGTGGAGCTTGCTGTCTGTCCTTGTCTGTCCTCACTGCAGCTCAGCGCTCTATGACCTCATCGCGCCTCCACCCCATTTTGCCCTCCCTACCTTGCTCAAGCCCTTCCCCCGGTGGGAACCCACTTATCTATGTCCTCTGACAAATTAACTAGAAATCTCTCTCCTCTCTCCGGTCTCTGTCTCTCTCCTCTCTGTCCCTATCTCTGTCTGTCTCTCTCAGCCTAGACCTTGACTTCTTCAGGAAGTTCTCCAAGGCTCCTTTCATGGGGTCAGGACTTCCCTGGATTCTCATGACTCAGACAGAGTGAAATGGTGTCACGGTGTTTTGAAATCAAGGCATGTCCTATCCCCCTTGGCCTCGATGTGTGTGTGTGTGGGGGGGGGGGAGGCCGTGTGATGGTGGAGTAAACAGCTCAGTCTTCTCCAGTGGGTGCAGTTGACAAGGTCCAGTTTCCTCTTTGTATGGTCCAGGGACTCTGCCAAAACCTCTTCCTCACAATTTTCAGCTCACTGATGACACCCTGACCTATTCTAGGTTGTTGTCTTTTTAATTTTCCCTCCCCTTCTAAATGCGGAGCCCTCTCGGGCCCTTTCTTTCCTGCTGAACTTTTGGCTTCTGGGGAAGTCTTGTTCACTCTTTCCTTCTTTCTTCCTTCTTTTTTTTTTTTTGAATTTTTGCTGGTTCTGGGGTTTGTGGTCAGGGCTATATAATTGCTAGACAGGCACTCTACCATTTGAGACAGACCCACAGTCCACATTCTCTTTTCTTTTCCTTCCTTCATCATCCTCTTTCTTTCTTTCTTTCTTTCTTTCTTTCTTTCTTTCTTTCTCTCTCTCTCTCTCTTTGTCTTTCTCTTTTTTTGTGCCAGTACTGGGGCTTGAACTCAGGGCCTGGGCACTGTCCCTGAACTCTGGCTCAAAGCTGTTGTTCTATTACTTGAGCCACAGCTCCACTTTTGGCCTTTTGGTGGTTAAACAGAAATAACAATTTCATGGACTTTCCTGCCTAGGCTGGTTTCAACCACAATCTTCAGATCTCAGCCTCCTGAGTATCTAGGATTACAGGTGTGAGTCCCCGTGCCTGGCAAGGATTTCATTCTGACCTGTCTATATACACATACAATGTACCTTGATCAGACACCTTCCCAGTCACTCTTCCTCATCCTCCTTCCTCTCTAGCCTTGCCCTTTTTAAAGGACACAGGGATTTATGACCTATGCAGCAGGAAGATTAGACAGGAAGTCACATGGTAGATATTTTCTAGAAGAGTAACAGAGACAATAAATAAATTATAGGTCATCCTCAAGTCTCAGGGCTTTAACTCTTTTCTGAATAACTAAAAGTTTGGTTGGAACCAACTGCCTGTGGCTCATGCCTGTAACCCTAGTTACTCAGGAGGTTGAGATCTGAGGATCATAGTTTGATTTTTTTTTTTTGGGTCCGGTCATGGGGCCTGAACTCTGGGCCTGGGTGCTGTCCCTCAGCTCTTCAGCTCAAGGCTAGCGCTCTACCACTTGAGCCACAGTGCCATTTCCGGCTTTTTTCTTTTTTTGCTTATGTGGTGCTGAGGAATGGAACCAGGGCCTCATGCATGCAAGGCAAGCGAACTACCACTGAGCCACCTTCCCAGCCCTGAGGATCATAGTTTGAAACCAAAATGAGCAGGAAAGTCCCTGAGACTCCTATCTCCAATTAACCACCAAAAAAGCTAGAAGTGGAACCGTGTCTCACATGGTAGAACACTAGTCTTGAGCACAAAAGCTCAGAGACAGTGCCCAGGCCTTTAGTTCAGGCCTCAGAACAAGCACATGCATGTTGAGTTGGAAGTCTTTGGACTAGAACATCCAATAGAAAGTGGAACTCTATGACATAATGGTAGGGCTGGATAGGTTGTGCCCACCACTGTCCCCAACAGCAGACATATAGTAGGTGCTGAACAGGAATGTGTGAATCTAGAAAGTTGGGATTTAAATTCTCCACTGAAATGCCAGTGTTGGATCCACTCAGCTTTGAGATTTTGACAGATAAGTTGGAAGGAAAGTCTGGAGTCACAAATTTTTAACCAAGTCCAAGAAGAGAAAAGTTGTAGTCCCTCTCCATGCTCCACATTTTCTAGTTATGACATTCTCACAGTCCCTGACCCCCCTGCCTGGAAGCAGATTATTTTTATTTAAATCTGCGCCCGATTGCTATGTTATGTGTATTTTAATTATTGTCCGGTCTCCTTTCAGTGGAAGACAGGAGTTGCGGTTGTTTTGGCCTCTTCCCTCTCCCTTGGTTGGCACAGAACCCAATTTCTGGAGCTTTCCTTGCCAATCTCAACCAGGCTTCGAAGCCTAGTCCTGAGCGGCTGAGCTTTGCAGATTGGGAAACTGAACTCAGAGACGTGAAGCTGCTCGTCCAAGGTCACACAGGGGCGGACTCCAGACCACCATCACCACCCGCGCAGCTGCTAAGGGATGCAGGTCGCGCTCTCCTTGCTCCTGTAGCGCGCTCGTCGGTTCCTCTGTCAGTCTTTTCCGTTCTCCTTCTGCAAACGTGTGCGGCCGTATGGCCCGGACGCCCGAGCCCCAGCGGGTCTGTTATTGCTTGCGGTTTGAGGAGACACGTGCTACACCAGTGAATGAATCGCACGTCCCCACCCCCGCCAGCAGCCAATCAGAACGCGCAGGCGACCGGCAACTTCCGCCTATTGCGGACCGCCGCCAAGCCGGGCAGCCCACGTGAGGCTCGGGAGACAAGGGAGTAGGCGGTGGCGCGACGGGGGAGGGCTTTCTCCGTTTTTCTACCAATCCAGAGACCCGCCGAGGACGCGAGGGGCGGGGTTGACGTGGGGCGCCAAGGCTTAAACGCGACGAGTAGGCGGGCGCAGGGAGGAGTCCTGACTGGGGGAGCGGTGAGTGACGGAGTGGATTGCCCAATACCAGGAGGGGTTGGGCTGCCTAAGCCAATAGGAAGTCAGGGAGGCGGGGCTGGGACTGCAGCAAGTTCGGTTGCGCGGAGACCGCAGCTGTTCCCTGTCAGTGGAGGCAGCGGCTTGAGAGGCGGCGGCGGCGACGATTTGCAGCGGCAGGGCGGAGGTGAGTGTCCGCGGCGCTGCGCACCTTCCTCTTCCTGCGGCGGGTCGGAACGGGTGGGTGTGCACCGGCGCCGCCGTCAGGGACGCTTATGTAAGGGTCGCGCGCGCAAAGGCGACGCGGGCTTCGCAAGTGACGGCTGGAGGAGACGGCGGCGGGCGGCGCGCGACGCGACGCGGCACGACGTGCGCCGTTCCTCCCCCTCCCGCCGGGGACCCGGCCGGTGCGGACCCGCCCCCCTCCTCTGCCCACGTCGTGCGGCTCCCCACGACCCCGGTCGGTTCGGCACCGCTCCCGCGCCGCGCCGCGCCGTCGTGTCCCGCCCCCACGGCGGCCGCCGGTCCGCTGGCGGTAGTCTTGCGCTCCGGCCCATTTCGCAGGTGTAGAAACTGACGCGCCGAGCCCTCGCCTGCCCCGCGCCCGACCCCCGAGGGCTGGAGCCCCAAGTCTGTCAGAACCGGCCACCGTGGTTGTCCCCATCAGGTTGGCGGTGGCAGAGCCCGGGCGTGAAGGGGAGGGTTGTCCTTGTGGCCGGAGGATGCGCCAGGCAACGTCCCTGTCACATGTTGGTGCAGGTGCCCTGAAGCAGGGATTCGTCTGAGGTTGGCCCGGCCTGTTACTTTCCTGCTTTCTTGGCTTTTCCCCCCGCCTTTTTTTCTTTTTCTTTTTCAGTCTATGAAGTTGACTCAGCAAGGCTCTCCTGGGGCAAGGAGTCAGGATCCTTGGCTTTTAGGACCTGCCCTGCAGGTTCCTCCCAGCATGTTACCCTGTGTACTTTGTACAAGTAGTTTTACTTTTAGAGAGCTCTTTCCTCATCTCAAACTACGGAATTAAGCCAAGTTCCGGGCAGCTCTGACGTATCCTGGGTGTATATGTGTGTTTGTGCGCCGATAACTGGGACTTGAATTCGGGGCCTGAGTGCTGTCCCTTAGCTTTTTCATTCAAACCTGGCACTCTGCTACTTGAGCCACAGCTTCAGCTCCATTTCTGGCCTTTTGGTGGTTAATTGGACATAAAAGAGTCTCATGGACTTTCCTGCCTGAGCTAGCTTGGAACTGTAAGTCCTCAGATCTCAGCGTCTTAAGTAGTTAGGATTACAGAGGTGTGCACTGGCGCCTGATACCTTTGACATTCTTTAAAAAAATTGATTACATTTTCATTGTATTAGAGAGATAAGCCAGGGCTTATCATTCACATATTGCAGCTGAGAAAACAGGTGCCAAGAAGCGGCAGCACTTGCTCCATCACCAGAGTCCCCAGGGTCAGACATGTGCCTTCCCTCTTACCCAGTGCCACCAACAGCCTTGGCTGGCCTTTCCCATGTCACCCTTTTCCTGTATGTAAGGCACATTCTTGTGCCTGGGGGGCTTGTGCTGAGCTTTGCACTTCCAACTTTCTGTTTGTTGGCTCTTCATCGTAACTCTTGAACTCTTAATTATATTCTCTTGTGCATTTACTATTTGCAGAGACCTACACTGGGTGCTGAGAGCTGACCTAAGTGCTGAGGCTAATCCTTTGTCTTAGAATTACGACAAACTGGTTGGAGGAGAGAAAAATAAAACCTGAGCTTCAAATGGACATACTACAGATGATTGTAGAGAGCACGTGTAGGCAAGGTACAGTCCAGAGGAAGAAAGGAAGTTCAGTGGAGTTCTGTAGAGTCCCCAAAAGCAGGACAGACCACATGTGAAAGCTTGGGAGAAGGGAAATGGGCTGGGCTGGACTTGAAGGGGATGGATTGGAGCAGGCTTCATGGAGGAATTGTGTGGCAAATCTCTTTTTTGATGCTGCTGGCAGCATCAAAAGTGAAGCAGCAGTGATTAGAATTTTGTGTGTGGGTTTTTTGTTTGTTTATTTTGTTTTTGGGTGAGTCGTGGGGCTTGAAGTCTGGGCCTGGGCGCAGTCCCTTAGCTCCAGCTCAACACTAGCACTCTACCATTTGACCCACAGCGCCACTTCCAGTTTTCTGGTGGTTAATTGGAGATAAGAGTCTCATGGAAGCTGGGAAGGTGGCTCAGTGGTAGAGTGCTTGCCTTGCATGCATGAGGCCCTGGGTTCGATTCCTCAGCACCACATAAGCAAAAAGAAAAAAAGCGGGAAGTGGCACTGTGGCTCAAGTGGTAGAGCGCTAGCCTTGAGCTGAAGAGCTGAGGGACAGTGCCCAAGCCCAGAGTTCAGGCCCCACGACCAGACCCCCACCCCCACCCCCCCAAAAAAAAATAAGAGTCTCATGGACTTTCCTTCCCTTGGCTGGCTTTGAACCATGATTCTCAGATCTTAATCTCCTGAGTAGCTAGGATTACAGGCATGAGCAACCAGCACCCAGCTTGATTAGAGGTTTTATTATGAAGGGGAGTGAATTTCAATCAGCCAGAACCTGCAAGAGGAAGTACTGGAAGGTGGAGGGAGACTATGGAGGAAATAGTATTTCTCAGTTGGATGTGAGAAATCTGGTTGGCCACTGGGCAGAAAAGGTAACCAAGTGAGGACAATAGCGTTTGTATGTGAGTCAGTGAGGAAGTGAGATCCAATCTAAAGGTCACTAGGTGTTTGGCTTGACTTTGAAGGCCTAAGCAGTAGATTTGAACTATAGGTTGTATCCGTTGGTATTCTGGTAAGCGCTTTAAGAACAGCCATCCCTTTTTTACATTTTTATCCTGGGGATTGAACCCAGGGCCTTGAGCCAAGCATACCTCTACCACTGAACTACACTCTAGCCTATTCTTTTGTTTCTTAATGGTTGCCCTATGCTCTGCCCTTAGGGCAGGGGCTTTGCTCACTGTGGTTGCTTAATGTTAGATTACCCCAGTGAACCCTTCTCCTTGGCTCCCCTTACAGAAGCCTGCTGTATGCAGCCTGGTTGAGCTAATTAGCTGTGCTAATTCTATCTCTAAGATCTCCCCATGAAAAGGTTGTCCTGGTGGCTCACATCTGGCCCCTTCTGCCTTTGATGTAGTGATACAGGCTGCTGCCCTCTTGGTGTCCTGCTCCGTGCTTTCTTCCTCTCTCCCTTCCAGTACCCCAGGCCATGTGCTGGGTTCCAGCAACATGCTCGAGAGGCCCTGAGCCCAATGACAGGGCTGGACCTCAGACCCATGTCTCTCATTCTATGCAATAGCTGTCTTCATCCCTCTCTGCTGAGTCTTCAGTTCCTAACACAGCGCTGGGGACAAGTTAGAAATGGCTCAAATTGAGAGCCAGTAAGGTGAGAAGGGTAGAAGCTGAGAAGGGAGGGTCAGCAGTAGTGACGACTCAGTAAGTTTGGGAAGAAGTCCCATCTCTCCCGAACGTCTTCTGTGGGAGCTAGAAGCCTCTTATTCAAGCTTCATGGAAGATAATGTGGACCTTTTTCTTGTTTGTTTGTTTTGCTGCCTCCTAATAATATCCACCTGTGTAGTCAGGCCTCAGATTGCTAACCTTCTGCTTAGTCTTTCCATTGCTGAGATCACAGGCATGTGCCATGATGTCCGGCTCAAACTGTTTGTTTTTCTTCAGTGCTGGGGCATAGTAGGCAAGTCCTCTACCACTGAGTCCTGTCCCAGCTCTTCTTTACTCTCTTCTGAATGGGCCCTACTCTTTGTATTGCAGAAGTACCAGGCTGGGCTAACTTCTCATTCAGAGACAGTCCTCATAGAAGTAGGATATGCTTGTGCCCTACTGAAATCTCACCTAGGCCCGATTGAAGTTTACCCCGTTTTCTCTTCGCTGCCTTAGTGTCAGCCAGTGATGCTTGGACAAAGGAGGAGGGACTAATAGTGGAAAATGGGAAACTGACAAAGAATAATTCATTCCTCTTATTTAATGGAAGCTTGCCTCAGCTTGGCATTCAGGATTCTAATCCTTTCTTCTATTGGCCTCATAGGTCACTTCTGCTTTAGTTCCCCATGAGACTATTCACTGTTCCCCCCAAACTTGCTTCTTACCCTCCTCTGCTTTTGGTGACTTGTTTCCTGCAGAACCTGACTGCTAATCTTGTCCTATAAAAATTCTTTAAGACTCAGGGCTTGACTATATTAAGCATCGCAAGCCTATTAGTTGGATGGGGGCTCTCTCTTTTATTTTATTTTTATTTTTTGGGGTCCGGTCGTGGGGCCTGAACTCTGGGCCTGGGTGCTGTCCCTCAGCTCTTCAGCTCAAGGCCAACGCTCTACCACTTGAGCCACAGTGCCACTTCCGGCTTTTTTCTTTATGTGGTGCTGAGGAATCGAACCCAGGGCCTCAGGCATGCAAGGCAAGCGCTCTACCACTGAGCCACCTTCCCAGCCCCGCTCTCTCTTTTAATAGTAATGATGATAAATAATGATTTATTCTTGTTAATAATAAAAGCTAACCTGAATGCACTGTGTGTCTCACATATGCACAGAGAGTGTATACTGAGTCACAAGGCTAGTAAATGGCATGAACTGGAATTGGCCCTAGGCTCTCTGCTTGGGGGCCTATCAGGTGTCATCTGTTTCAAAATTGGCCCCAGGAACTTAATTTGCTTTTTGGCACTTTTTAGGCAGAGCCTGAATCTTCTTGCATAGATCTTTGTGCAAGGCATGCACTCAATAAAGACTTGATTGAATGAGTGCCCCAAACATTGAATTTCAGCCTTGACATAATCTACGAAGGCAACTGGTTTTCTGTGAACATGGATTCAATGCCTTTGACAGCTTGCTGGTCTGTTGCCATTTGGTGTTTATTGACCAGTCATTTCAGCTGTCTCACAGCTGTCTTACAGTGTGAAAAGAAGCAATCTGTAAAGTCCAAAAAGTGGTCAAACACTCTGGGCTCCTGTGGGCCAGAACTTGGGCTGTGCTCTTAGGCATGGCAGGATGGGTTTCTGCAGGAAACCTCAGGGCTCTGAGGAAAAGGTTGGGGAGCCAGAGACATCTCGGATCCCATTAGACAGTTGCTTATTAGTGTCATGTTGCATCCTGAGACAGAAACCAGAGTCCAAGAAACAGGAGCACAGGTAGTGATGGAGGATTAGAGGCCATGCAGTAAGGAGAAAGTAGATCTGGGGCCAAATGAGGTGGGCAAGAAGAGAAGGTACTTTAGCTAAAACAAGAACTCTTTCTGGAACTTCCTGTTCTTGTGCAGTGGTTTTGGACAAGGGTTTGCCTTAAATGTTTATTGTCACCCATACTGATCAGAGTCAGAATGTGTCCTTTGTGTTAGTTCATCAGGTACTATCTAGAGCCTGGGAAGTGGGCATTGTTTCTGTTCCCATTTTACAGATGAGGAACCAAGCAGAGCATCAAGGTCTGGGGCCCAGGTAGCTGGACAACAAAGCTGGTTATACTTCCAGCCTTTTGCTGTCTTCATGGCCCCTCTGAGCTAGAAGCCAACAAGCAGTTCTTCTCTGAGTTCTAACTCCGATCTTTGGGGACTGCTCTGATAAATGAGGCTATTTTATTTTTTCTTTAGATAGCTTCTGGCTTTGGAGAGACCCACAGGACACTTACAAAGGTAAGTCGTGTGTCTGCAGCTAGACCAGTGGGTTTCCGGGGTCACTGCCAGCAGCGGCAATGCCCATGGAAGTTCTGGCATGTCTGATCAGTACAAAAGGCATGCTCTGAGTTTTGAAATCTTCCTGTTAGCTTGGTCTCCGCATTTTCTTGGTTTTCACGGGCAAGTAACATCTGACTCCCGACTGGGCTCAGTTGGCAGCTGGCCAGCTGTAGCAGGCGGCCCTACTTGTGGAAGGATGTGGCTTGGGAAGCTGGGCAGGAGGGCGGTGAGGCTTGACCCACCCCAGGGCTGGGAGGGATTCAAGGAAGCACGCATCTGGGACATGAGAGGCGGCTCTGCCAGCTAGTTAGTTGTAAAAACACTTGGCATGTGTTTCCCACCTCTGCCAGTCACAGTGACAAGGAGGTAAAGGTGGAATTGTCCTTTCTTCCTCTGTCTGGTGCCTAGGCTGTGCTGCCATTTATAACCTATTGCTTGTGTGTGTCTGTCTGTCTGTCCGTCCGTCCGTCTGGCTGTGTGTCTGGCTGTCTGGCTGTGTGTCTGGCTGTGTGTCTCTGTTTATGTCTATGTGTGTGCCGGACCTGGGCTTGATCTCAGGGCCTGGGCTCTGTCTCTGAAATTTTTGGCTCAAGGCTAGTGCTTTATCACTTAAGCCACAGCTTCATTTCTGGCTTTTTGGTGGTTAACTGGACATAAGAGTCTCACAGACTTTCCTGCCCTGACTGGCTTCAAACCGTGATCCTCAGATCGAAGCCTCCTGAGTAGCTAGGATTATAGGTATGAGCCACTGGTGCCTGGCAAGGACCTCACATTCTTGCTTAGCTTCATCTGCTCAAGACTGGCACTATACCACTTGAGCCACACCTTCACTTCTATTTTGTTGTTGTTTTGCTGGTTATTTGGAGTGTCTTAGATTTTTTTTTTTTTTTTTGCCTAGGTTGACTTTGAATCTTGATGTTCAGATCTCAGCTTCCTAAGTAGGTAGGTAGGTAGGAGTACAGATGTGAGCCACCATGGCCCTAGAAGGAAAATTTAATCCCCAAGAAGAGGCCTCTTCTTCCAGGGTCATCTGGTTTCTCTTCAGTTCAGCTCATCAGTTCCCAAGGCCCTGCTGATTCCCCTGAGCTTTCCTTAGTTACAGTAACCAAGGCTCTGTCATCTTGGGGGGGGGAGCTACCCCCTCTGTAGCTTTCTTGGATGTGGCTGTTGTTATTGTTAAGTCCTCCCCCTGAAGGCAAAACCCCTGGTCCTAAGAGCCCACCTCAGCCACGAGCTCTCCTATTACCTCTTTGTCCTGGTTTGCTGCCAGGGCAGGGGTGGGGCCTGGGATGTCAGGAGACTGGCAAAGGCCATTTCCACTATCTGCTTGGGGAATGGGCCAGGCTCCTAGTGCTGCTCCTCTCCTGACCCACATGCAGCATGACATCTGAGGCTGAGGCTGAGGCTGAGGCTGCGGAAAATTCCGTGTCCTGGCTGTGCTGAGTCATGCCTAGACATGGAGCGCGTGGGTTCTCCTTTTTCCTGTCTGTCACCAGTCAGCCCAGGGACTAGGAGGGCAGCAGTTAGGCAGTGAGCTATTGTGCCGCTCATTCTTACCCTCTGCTCACTTTCTGCCTGAGTACTTTCTTTAGCAATCTGCTGTGCATCAATATGAAGTTTATTCATAGTAAATGATTAATCATATTATTTATTCTGGGAATCATTCCTCTTTTACAGATGAGGAAACTGACAATCTGAGAGCCCAAGAGGGTGAATTTCGGGTGACCTGTGAGTGGCATGTCTAGGTGGGGTTCTAGATGCCATACCCCACCCCTGCCTCTGAGTAATGCAAAGATTATTCAAGAAGTGCCTTTAACTGGAAAAAGTTGATTTTCAATTTGTTAAAGTTGAAAAAATTTAAAATCTAGTTCTTCCTTCTCCTTGGATTTTTAAGTTTATCTTAAGAATAACCTCCAAATCTTTCCATTCTATTCACATTCTAGAAAGTTTAACAATCACTTCAGAGGTCCTTTTGATTAATGCTGGCTCTATCTGAACACCTAATTAGACTAATTTGAAATTTTTAATTGAATTTATAAATTGCCGTTACCATCTTTTAATTATTTTAATACTTTTTCCAATTGCCTGTAAATTATGTAATTCCTATAAATTGAATAAATTAAGCTGATCCTTAATTTTTCCTCTGTCCAGCTTTATATTTTATTCCTCAATCAGCTACTGAGGTGTTATTTGCATAATAAACTCTATATACTCTGTACAGTTTGGTAAGTTTTAGCAAATGTGTGCACCTGTGAAACCCTTACCACAGTCTAGACAGTACATACACTGGAAAGCTGTTTCCACTGTGCCTCCCTCATTCCCAGATAACCATTAAACTGCTTCTACTTACTATAAGTCAGTTTGCATTTTGGGGAATTTTCCATGAATGGATTCATAGAGTATGTATTGGTTTATCTGCCTTCTTTTATTCCCTTGTTGCTGAGTAATTATTCCATTATGTGAATATCACACAATTTATTTGTACACCTGTTAGTCATTTATCTCAGCTGCTTCCCTTTTTTGTCAATTATAAAGTCACAGTGAATGTGTACAAGTCTTCGTATGGACATTTTTTTCTTTCTTTCTTCCTTCCTTCTGTCCTTTCTATCTTTCTTTTTTTTTCATTGGTCTGGGGCATGAACTCAAGGCCTGGGTGCTGTGCCTGAGCACTTTTGCTCAAGGCTAGTGTTCTACCACTTAGTCACAGAGCCATTTCTGGTTTTCTGGTGGTTAATTGAAGATAGGAGTTTCACAGATTTTCCTGCCCATGCTGGCTTTGAGCTGCAGCTCCTCAGATTTCAGCCTTCTGAGTAGCTAGGATTACAGGCATGAGCCACCAGCACCTAGCCTATTTTCTTTTCTTGTGGGCAAATACCTAGGAGAGTGGATAGTTTATACCATAGTTCAGTGTAACTGAAACTGTAACTGAAATTGCTAACCTTTTTTTTTTTTTTCCATTGTGGTACTGGGGCTTGAACCCAGGTCCTTGTGCTTGCTAAGCAGGCGTTCTGCCTCTTCAGCTCTGCCCGCAGCTCTTTTTAAAGTGTTTATACTATTTTGTGGTCCTACCTGCAGCATATGGGAGTTCAGCCCTGTCTGCCTTCCTCAGTGCTGGGGATGGTCAGCCTTTTAACTAGCTATTTAAGAAGGTTTATAGTGGTATCTCACTATGGTTTCAATTTTGGTTTCCCTAGTGACTAATGATGTTTAGCTTCTTTTCATGTGCTTATTTACTACCTGCCAATACTGATTTTAAACTTGGTAAAATTCCTACCTAAAATCCCAAATCTAGTTGCATGTTTTAATGGGAATTATCCCCCCACCTCTTCACCCTACTTCAATGTTGGAGGTTGAATCTAGGGCCTTGAGCTTCCTTGGCAAGCACTCTACCACGTGAGCCCCTTTAATTGGAATCTTCAAACTGATTTGTGGGGGCTGAGAAGGTGGCTCAGTGGTAGAGCGCTTGCCTTGCATGCCTGAGGCCCTGGGTTCGATTCCTCAGCACCACATAAGCAAAAGGAAAAAAGCCGGAAGTGGCGCTGTGGCTCAAGTGATAGAGCACTAGCCTTGAGCTGAAGAGCTAAGGGACAGCGCCCAGGCTCAGAGTTCAGGCCCCACAACCGGACCCAAAAACAAACTGATTTGTGGGAGAATGATAGAAGGGATGACATTGATAAATATATGTTGTACACATAATTGACATGCTGAATTGATAATATTTATAGCATACTTCAGAATAATAAAAATAATTTTAAAATGTTTTGTTACTCTGACCAATTTCCCTTAAACAGTAAAGTACACAATGTAACAGATGTGTGTGGCTGGCTGGGTAGTGGTAGAGTGTTTGCCTAGCATGTGCAAAGTCCTGGGTTGATTCCCTATACTAGGGAGCAGAGAGTAAAAGATTATGAACTTTTTCCCAAAGGAGAGAAGGCTAGGAATGGAACCAAGGATCTTGTGCATGCTAGCACATGACCTATACTGAGCCCCAAATATCCCTATGTCACAGATTTTTCTCTTTTTTATTTCTGTCCAAGAGCAAGACTTGAACTTGTTACCTGACACTTTTGCTCATTGGCTAGTGCTCTACCAACTGATAGTACTAGAGTTTGAACCCAGAGCTATGTTCTTACTAGGCAGATGCTCTACCATTTAAGCATTGTAGTTTCCTTTCTTTCTTTCTCTCTTTCTCTCTTTCTTTCTTTCTCTCTTCCTTCCTTCCTTCCTTCCTTTCTTTCTTTCTCTTTCTTTCTTTCCTTCCTTCCTTCCTTCCTTTCCTTCCTTCCCTCCTTCCCTTCCCTTCCCTCCCCTCCCTCTCTCCCTCCCTCCCTCCCTCCCTTCCTTCCTTCCTCACTTCCTTCCTTCCTTCCTTCCTTTCTTTCTTTTTTGTCAGTCATGGGGCTTGAACTCTGGGCCTGGGTGCCGTCCTTGAGCTCTTCAGCTCAAGGTGAGCACTCTACTGCTTGAGCCACAGCGCCATTTCCAGTTTTCTAGTTGTTTATTGGAGATAAGAGCCTCATGGACTTTCCTGCCTGGGCTGGCTTTGAACCTCGATCCTCAGATCTCAGCCTCCTGAGTTGCTAGGATTATAGGCGTGAGCCACCAGTGCTCGGCTTTTTCTTTCTTTCCTTCCTTCCTTCCTTTCCTTCCTTCCTT